GTTTTGTTTTTTGTGGCACTATTTTTGATAGGTTGGTCTGTTTTTTCCCTTTGTGTAAAGACAGATGCAAAACACGAGTTAAATAGTTCTGCTTTCTCCCTGTTGTTTGTCACCTTCTTGCCACTTCCACCCACTAATGGACCAATCGTTTCCTTCACTTTTCAAAGGGTTTTTTTTCCAATGTAGGTTGATAATCCAGATGTGAATTTAATTCCTTCATCTCAGTGAGTTGTAAGCAAAGTTGAGAACAGGTCTCTTGGGTATATATCCCTTCTACTGTTTCTTGGCCTGCAAAGTGCTCACTTACACCTTGTGCTTTAATTTGTTGTTGAAAAATAATCTCTCTTGTACAGGCAACTATTAGCTCAGTATTTTCAAGAATTTTATCCAATATATACTTGTAATTAAAATCTAGGCAAGATTCCTCCATTTCAGTAATGTTTAGAGCCATTATTCTTTTGGTGGAGGCTGTATTTAATAACAATCAGTAAATATCTGCCTCCACCCAGCTGTACAACTTCTCTATCTTTTCCTATTTATGATAATTTGAAGGTCAAAGTCAAACTCAGAATCCAAGAAAAGGAAATAACAATTGCAGTTGGTAATTTCACCACAAGATGTCCCTAGTGGGTTATCCAAAGTTATTCAGTCTTTCCAAACCTCCAGTAAAAATAATTTATTTCCTCTTTTCCTTTTTCTTTCTTTTCTTTAATTAAAAAATAGTGAAAAGTAAAAGAAAACAATATTCTCCAAATAACTAGCATATTAAGTCTCTATATCAGGGAATTTTGGGACCCCCAGATGTCCAAAAATAATATCAACCATTAAAAAGTAGAAATTCATTTTTCTTTTGTTCCAAATCTTTTCCTCCCCCATCAACAACGCCGCTTTAACAAAATAGGGAAATAGTTCCAAAAAAGCTTTTCTCAGGAGTAAATAGGAAAATTAGAGGCAAGGAAAGGTCTCACCAAATCTTCCACGGTGGTTCTTTTTCGCTTAGATGTTCTTGTGACTTACAGCTGGTGCAGCTAAGTGATCGGCCATTTTACTGACCGATCCTTACTCCGTTGGCCCAAAGGAGCTTACTCGGACTGCAGAAGATGCTGCCGCCCTTCTGCAGTCAAACGAGGGGCCTCCTCAATGGTAGTCACCCCTCCAGGGTGACTTTTGACCCAATCAAGGGTCTACCAGCAGAGGAAACTTGGCTGGCAAAGAAAGGAGTCTGTTTGAACAACCGCAGCGCCGCGACCCAGAACTGGAAGCCAGCAAACATTATTTTTTAATTGCAGGAAATATACAGTATATAATAATAATAATAATAATAATAATAATAATAATAATAATAATGATGTCACTTTGAATGTACATCATCATCATCATCACCTCTCCTCCTCTGCCTCCTTCAGAAACAGCCCTGATTTGCAATAGAATCCATCACTGTGCCAGCAGTCAGATCTTGCTGCCAGCAGAACAATTTTAAACAGTACAAATGACTTTTAACGGTTTCACCAACAGTTCTGAAACAGCCAAAAATTCGCCATACCAGCAAAGATTGTCGGTCGTATGTTAGCTGAGTCCCACTACGTTCTTCAAACACATTACATCCTTCCTGATCATGTAGCCTATATTCCTCAATATCCCTCCCCCAAAATTTCACCTTCGAGAGCCATTGCAGCTCCAGCTGATCCAGGTGCCGCCATCTTAACTTAGTTGTTGTTGTTGTTTTTGTTGTTGTTATTTTCTTATACTATTTTGAAGTAACTAAGACAGGTTTTATGAATTTGCTTGTTGCCATCAATGTGATGTAACAAGTTGGAAATGCCAAAGTACTTACTTACAAACAAGATATTTGATTCTTAGTTTCCAAAAAGTGAAAAAATATTAGTCTGAACTCAGGTATGTGTTTGATGTATGTTTTGAGCACAGATCAAATTTCAGTTAATAACTAGCCTTCTTATTGGATGTTTAATCTCTTTGACATAGCAAGGTCTATGTATTGCTTTGATGTAGGCCAGTGGTACCCAACATTTTTGACTTGGTGGCCCAGTGGGTGGTGGGAGGGAATAGTTCCCAGCAAGTGGTATGCAGGCATGCTCAAGCATGTGCAGTTCCATGAGTGTGAATGGCGGGTGCGCGCGAAGGAAGCTTGTGCTGCCTGGTTCTGAACAGGCCATGGCCTGACGGGGACCCTGGTGTAGGCTGATCAGATTTTTCTATAGTACTCTGCAGAATCATTTTGCCTTGTTTTTGTCATAGCACTTCGTTTTAAAAATAATAAAAACAATAACTATGGTTTATTATTATGGTTGGGATGCAAACATAAAATTTCAAGGAAAACAAAATAAACATAAATAAAAAATACTCTTTTTTGTTTATTGTAATGCACTTCACTTTGCAACCAAATCTCAAAGTGATTGTTAAAGCAACAAAAATCCTCAAAGCCTCCTCACCTTAGGTAAACTGCAGTTGTAATATATGCTTCTAATGGTTAAGACATCAGGCTAGAAAGCAAGACACTATGAGTTCAAGTCCTACCTTAGCCATGAAAGCCAGCTGGGTGACTTAGGCCAGACATTCCCTCTTAGCCCAACTTCCCTCACAGGGTTGTTGTCATCAGGAAAAAAAGGGGGAAGGTGTTTTTGATATGTTTGCCACCTTGAGTTATTTGACAACTAGATTCCCTCAGTGCTGGCTGACTATGTTGGAAACTGTTGCAACAGTACAATGAAAATCATCAGTTAAATATTTTTAGCCCTCTTGAACTCATGCAGCATGTCAGAAATTGTATGTGTTTAAATACATTATAGTCATTAAAAGTTAATTTCATATTTCTCATGAGTCCTATGTGATGCAGGCATTCTGAAATTACATTTAGGTTCACCAAAACTTTTTCAGAAAGCAAAAGATTTGAAAAAAGTATATTGACCAGTATTTCAAAGTAATGTTTCAAATAAATAAATAAACAAACAAACAAAGTTTTTCACTATAATGAGTATATTGAAAGAATTTGAAATATTTTTTTTCTTTAAAAAAATATCCCACACCTGGATTGAAAACAAAGATTAGATATGTTAGGGTATTTTTGAAAAAATAATAATTCCAAAGGATTCATAAAATAGGGGAAAAAAGACCTCACTAATAAGGGTAAAATGACATTTTTAAAGAAGTCCCTAGAACAAACCATTCTAGCACTAAGAATATTTGAAAATTCTGCTACATATTTTGTGGATAGGAAGTTTATGATTTGTGTTCCTTTTTTGCCTGTTACTCTGCCAATTTTCCCTGTTTCAAAGAGAGAAATTTTGCTTTGGGAACATTAAATTCTCATTGGGAATCTGCATCAGGGAGTAAAAAATTCTCAACTACTAAGGGAGAAGACTTTTCTGCTGCTCAAAAGGTTTGCTACATAATTTGTTGGAATATGTATGGTAAAAACTGGAAATAGGTGAGAACATCTAAACTTGGTATGTGCAAACAGGATAAATATAGACTGGCTATGCAGTGCTTTGAGACCTACATACAAATCAAATTATTTGTGGCATGGCAGCGGATAATGAAACAGCAAAAGAAAATATAAACCTGCAGACTCAAGTATTTGTTAGTACAATCCTGTGCAGGTCTACATTGAAATCAGTTTCAGTGACTTAAGGGGGACTTTTTGTGTGAACTCCAATATCACATAGATAATGGCATAATGCTCTAATAGATCATTCTAAATGGGACTGGTATTAGACACATATTATTATAGTCATCTTTTTGGTTTATCCTTTTTCACAACTTCTTTAAGGATGTAGGAGCTGAGTTTCTAAAAAGAAAGTTAGATATTATCTGTACAACTTATCTGTTGAAGTTTAGCAACCATGTATGATTAAAAACTAAATAGAAAATTTACTGAAATTTCTTTAGGGGAATTTGAACTTCTTCATAAACTTAACAAGTGCAGGTTCTTCTTTTAATGATGTCACGAGCATCACTATCATAGAAAAAAAAAAGAAAGTTGAAAATTTTCTCCCCATGGTTGCTGTTATTATTATTTTTCACAAAGACAGCTAGATGTTTAGACTGAATTTGGCATTTTTATCAACCTATCGTGATCTTTCTAAGAATTTAGGATATACAGATATTGTTATTTGATGGTGTTAAAGGTATCAGTGCAGGATGTAAGCTGTTCCAAGTAAAGTTGCCTTTTGCAATTGACTGATGTTGACTTGCTGATAGCAATGGTATTCTAGTAGTGCTGCAGTTTTGGGGATTGCAGCCAAGGCACCTATTGCTATTGGTATTTGCTTTGCTTTTTTTTTTTGTCCATAGTTGTTCTACTTCTATTTGCAGGTCTTTGTATTTTGTGATTCCCCCCCCCCCAATTCTTTCTCTTCTATTCTTCTCTAGGTACTGCAACATCCACCATCCAGACTGTTTTGTCTTTCTTATTGACAATTGTTAAGTCTGGGATGTTATGTGGGAGGTGGTGGTCTATTTGAATTCTAAAATCCCAAAGCACTTGAACTTGTTCATTTTCTATTACTTTGTCTATTTTATGATCTGTCCAGTTTTTGCTTGCAAGCAAATGTATTTCTTGCAGTTATTCCAATGCACCATTGTTGCTATTTTGTCATGCCACTTTTGTGGTGGCATCATCATTATTATTTCATTCTGCCATTTTTATATATGACTCAAGATGGCTTGCATACATAATTTTCTCATCTCCTATTTTCCCCAAAATAACAATCCTGTGAATGGTTTTGATTGAGAGAGACTGACTGGCCCGAGGCTACACAGCTAGCTTTTTTATGCCTAAGCAAGAGGGGAGTGTAGAATTCATAGTCCCCTGCTTTAAACAGTTACAGTATTGATATTTATATCATTTTGCTTAACAAAAAGAAAACAATAGGATTTCTGATATTAAAATACTTTTTGGAATTACAAGAGGATATGAGCTCCTACTTGATGAAGAAAGAACCACCTCTCACATATTTTTTTTCTTTTTTGCTTCCTATTAGTTCCAAAACAGTTGATATAGAAAAGGGAAAAAAGCATCCATAAAAATAAATAGTAACATTATACATTAAATATATGAGAAGAGATCCTGTAAAACAGGTAAAATAGTGGTGTATTTTAAGTTTCACTTCCAGTTTCTCATTATACTTTTTATAATTTATACTTTATACTTCCATTTCTTTTGAAACCTAGAAATATCTGTAATAGGTTTATTTTGTTTAAAAATCCTTGAATCTTCCAGTCCTGAAGGCACTGATTATTGTTAAAATGTATTGTCCTAAAATAAAATACACTTCAATTTTCCAAAGAAATGATTCTTAACATAAAAAAATAAACTGAAAATTAGACTCAAATAGGTTGTGGTATTATTATAATTAGGGAAAAAAATTTCTTTACTATGTTGAGTGCTGAGAGTAGTTAATGGTATGAGATTAAGGCACTGGTTATATTTGTTTTTAATAAAAAGTTTGGTGTTAAAGATAACATTTTAGAGAAATGCAAACAAGTCCTTCTTTATGTACTGGACTTTTGTAACTCTTCTTAAGATGCCTTACACTGGAATGATGAATGAATGTTTGATCAGAGTGAACATTCTAATTGGAGAAAACAGGAGTGCTCTTGTCATAACAATGTTTTTTTTTTACTTGCAGGTAGTACATGTATGAGCAGTTCATCAGCTGTCTGATAAGCAGAAATTGGCCAAATTGTATTGATACACCATAGATGTATCCAAAGTCCCAAGTTTAATATTACTAAGCCTTAATATGATTTCACACATAACTGAATTGAATAAAAACAAATTTTAATTTATGAGATTAATGGATGGTTGATTTTCTTTTCCAGGATGCATATAAAGAAAGAAAATGTTTTACAAAACAGCACAGCACCAAACAAATTCATCCTCCTGGGTCTTTCTGAAGAGTTCCATTTACAAAGCATACTTTTCTCTATTTTTCTGGGAATTTACATCAATGCCTTGACCGGAAATCTTTTAATCATTCTCCTTACATTGGTTGATCAAACCCTCCATACACCCATGTATTTTTTTCTAAGGAATCTATCCTTCCTTGAGATATGTTTCACATCAGCTATTGTCCCCAAGATGCTTGCCAATTTCTGCTCAGGGAATAAATCCATCTCCTTTATGGGTTGTGCTCTGCAGAATTATTTTGCATTGTTTTTGGGTGGAACAGAATGTTTCCTCTTGGCCTCAATGGCTTATGATCGTTACATTGCCATTTGCAAGCCTCTGCATTACTCTGTCCTGATGGGGCAAAAAATTTATACTAGCTTAGCTGTAGCCTCTTGGTTAAGTGGGTTTTTCATGTCCTTTGGCCATACAACTATGGTCTTCACAATGCCTTTTTGTAATTCTAATGTTATCAATCATTATTTTTGTGACATCCCTCCATTACTGAAATTGGCTTGTGGGAACACGTTTAGAATTGAAATAACTGATTTCATAGTTGTAGTGATTTTTGCAACTTTTCCTTTTCTTCTGATTTTAATGTCTTACTCTGGAATCATTGCTGCCATTTCAAAGATCTCGTCCTCTGAGGGCCGGAAAAAGACTTTCTCTACTTGCTCCTCACATCTCATTGTTGTGACCTTATTCTTTGGTTCTGCTTGTATTAAGTATATGAAACCCAATTCCTCTTATTTTCCAAATACAGACAAATACCTTTCCCTTTTTCATACAATCATTAGCCCTGCTTTAAATCCTGTCATATACAGTTTGAGGAACAAAGAAGTGAAAGGTGCCTTTATGAGACTCTGGGAAAGAACATCTTTGGATTGATTTATTAGCGTGTATTGTAAAATCTGAACTGGTTGTGAGTTTCGTACCATGTGATTCCAGGAGTTCTAACATTCTTTTAATTCCTTCAATGAAGAGGAATGAACAGTTCACTTAGATATGAAAGATCTCAAATTAGAAATCATTATTATACAAACAATGCCTAAAGTTTTGGTTAGCCTACTAATACAGGTCAATTGTTTATTATGGAAATTTGAAAAATTACATAAAGAAATATGTAAATCTACTTAATCTTATTCACTGTTTGAAGAAGAAACTACAGCCTACAAAGACTGAAAGAATGAGGTCTTATTTTTATTGTGATTAGCAAAATTGCTATTTCTGACCAACAGCCAAGTATAGATGTAAGTAGTTTTAATACTACTATCTAGTGAAAATAGTGAGTGTTACAAATAATTTGAGAGGGAAACTACAGCTTGCATATTTACACTGAAAAAAAAACAGACAAATTGGAGGATACCATAATTTTAATTTTATTTCTTAATTTTATTTTTTAATTTACTTAGAATACCTTTCTCCAAATCATTTCTGAACCACTCAGCGACGACCTGTGGTGATGATAGTAAATGTAAAATTATAGGTTACTTAAAGATTCTGAAGAATATATGAGCCTTTTACTGTGGGGAATATATTGACAGAATTTGAAAAACATATTAGTGAAAATAAGAGCAGTGCAGTGGCCTAGAGGTGAAGACTCTCACCTCCCACTCAGAGGTTGAGAGTTCAATCCTAGGCAGCAACAGTTGTTTCTCTATCAGGGCACAAAATAGAAAATATCTGTTGCAAACACCAGGTAGGCATCTGGTGGGCATCTGACCAGTAAATGCTCAGCTCCATTCAGTCATCCTGAGCCCACCTCAACCCCATCCTGAAGCAAGGGATTACAGGATCATAAAAAAAAAAGTGAAAATAAATTTTAAAAATCCCACATCTTCATGGATTGGAGACAAAAGTTAGGTACATTAGAATATTTGTTAAATTATCCTCTATATTTTGTAAATAGTGAGTTTATGATTTATTCCATGCTTCTTTTTGATCTATTACACTGCCAGTTCTATAACTAACACCTTACTCAAAACAAAAATTTTTGCTTTGGCAACATTACATTCTCAATGGGAACCTGCACCAGGGAGTCAAAAAAAAAAAATCAACTATCTATTTAGGGAGAAGACTTTTCTGTTTTTCAATATGTTTGCTGATTGCTTTGAAATAAATTATAAATCATATTCTCCCACCCCTACTGTTCATGCCACACCAGCCATCACAGCCAATTGCAGGGGAAGGGGTAACAGTGTTTAAGAAGGCATACCAGGAGCTCACAAAATGCTGATTTAAAGGCTTTTGAGGAAGTAGAAGGTATCAGAATACTTTTCTTCCTTTTATTTTCTTATAAAGAAAGAAGTTGGTTTTAAGAGTGGACACTTCAAATGAATTAATTTAGCAGTTTAATTAACTTGCATTAAATTATTTGATCACTCAAATTGTGCAACGAATACATTGACGCACTATCTCTAAGATGCAGCGTTAATAGGAATATGGATAATAAAAAGTGAAAAAAAAATCAGTTTTCAAACAAGGAACATGGTCTTCAAAGAGAAAGCTAGAATTTGGTACAAATGCTCTGTTCATTTAGTCAAATACATATGATAAAACTAAACAGAAATTACTGAAATGTAATTAAGAGAAGGTGAAATAGTCAAAAAACTTGTTAATATAGACTCTTCCTTTTATAGTGTCAGGAGCACCTCAGGAGCACCTCTACTATAGGAAAGAAAAAAGAAAGCTAAAATTTTCTTCCAGATATTATTGAACAATAAGGAGACATAACAAATAAAAGATAACCCTGATAGAATTTGTAAAGTGAATTAAAGGATATTTTAAAAGCTATAGTGGTGTAGTGATTATAATGTAGTACTGCAGGTTAACTCTGCCCAGATTCTTGACTGGCTTAAGGGTGACTCAGCTTTCCATATCTTTCTGAGGTAAAATGAGGTCCCAGGGGGCAATTTGCTGACTCTGTAAATTACTTGGAGAGTGCTGTAAAGCACTATGAAATGGTATATAACTAAGTGATATTGCTGTTAAAAGATATTTAGTCACACTTCTTGATCACAAAGTAACTCATAGAATTCTCTGAAGCATTAAAAAGTGTTGAGTACATATTTTTATTTTGTACAGTTAACGACATTGAATTATAAATCTTGTTGATTTTAGTGGCTGAGACATGTATAGTATGTATTTAACTCAGAATGTATGCAGCATGCTGTATAACTGAATTATTGTAGAAATAAGCAAACCAATAAACCTATTCCTGAATTAGAGTTGAAATACACTCATATGTTGAAATGCAGTTGAACAAAAATAGTATGACAAAAATATGCAGGCTCTAGTGCTGTAGTTCTCACAGCATTGTAAACACACTTGTAAGTCTTTTTTTCTGTTCAGTCAAACATAATTCTTGGAAAAAGGAGATGCACACATCCATGCAGTTTATTTGACAACATATTTCAAGTGGTTTGGCACTGTCTTCTTCCTAGGGCTGCAAGACAGTGATTGGCCCAACTAGTTGGCTTCCATGTCTAAAGCAGCATTATAACACAGGTTTTCTAGATTCTACTCTAACAGATCAACATATATCAATGGCTTTAGAGCATTCAGGTTTAAATCTAAATCTAATGTTAATTTTGCTGACATTATAGAGAAATGTTAATCCTTAAAGATTAAGCACAATGATCATGTTGTATTGTCTCATGTGTGGCATAATTTTTTTTAGTACATTAGATGTATAGAAACTTACTCCAGAAGTCTGGGAAGAAATCATAAGATTGTGTATACACTAAAAAAATAATAATTAAATTTACTATGTGTCAGATTCAGATCCTGGTGACTCACCTGAATACAATGATACAATTTTCTTGGTTTTATAATATACTTTGTGGTTTCTTTCTTCTCTGATTTATTTTAATTCCCAGGAAAATAGAGCTATAATGATCAACAAAATATTGAAAACATTTTCCACTGTTTCAGTTGCTGAAAATAGATACTGAGTAGGACCAGGTTATTTGGTACATTTTTCTGCATATACAACATAACACAACATTGATTTAAATGTCATTCATACTGAGAATAGAACACATTCTGTTTCATCTTAGCTTCAGACTTCTGCTATGAGACTTAATAAGTGTACTGTATATACTTTTATACATAATGTTTTTAATTCTATTTTAATTCTACCAATCATATCCTATATGATTCCTTATCCTTTGTAGGATGCATATAAAGGCAGACAATGTTCAACTTAACAGCATAGGCTCATACAACTTCAACCTTTTGGGCCTCTCTAATGAGCCCTTCTTACAACACATATTCGTTTCCATTTTTTTAGGGATATATGTCATCACTTTGTCTGGAAACCTTGTAATCATTCTCCTAACATTAGCTGATCCAAACCTATACATACCCATGTACTTTTTTCTAAGAAATCTATCCTTGCTTGAGATCTGTTATACATCAGTCACTGTCCCCAAAATGCTTGACAATTTCTATTCTGGGAATAAATCCATTTCTTTTATTGGCTGTGCTCTGCAAACTTACTTTTCAGTCTTTCTTGGTAAAGCAGAATGTTTCCTTTTGGGCTCAATGGCTTATGATCCTTATGTTGCAATATGTAAGCTTCTGTATTACCCTGTATTGATGAGTCAAAGAGTTTATACAAGTTTAACTCTAGCCTCTTGGTTAAGTGGAATATTCATGTCTTTTGTTATTACTAGTATGGTGTTCACATTGTCCTTCTGTCACTCTAATGTCATCAACCAGTTCTTTTGTGATATCCCCCCTTTACTGAAACTGGCTTGTAGGATTGAAATTGCTCTTTTTCTGGTAGCAATTCTTTATGTTACTATACCTTTTATTCTGATTTTAACGTCTTATTCTGGAATTATTCTTTATATAATTATTTTGAATCTGAGGGCTGAAAGAAGACTTTTTCCACTTGCTCCTCACATCTTATTGTTGTGACCTTATTCTTTGGTTCTAGTTCTATCATATATCTGAAGCCCAACTCCACTTATTCACCAAACATTGACAAATACATCTCACTTTTTAATACATTCATTAGCCCTGTTTTAAACCCTGTTATATATAATTTGAGGACCAAGGAAGTGAAAGGTGCTTTTATGAGAATCTGGGAAAGAAAACCATTTGATTGAACAATTTTTATAAACTTTTATTGTACAGTATATCCCAAGGAGCTGTAATAGCTGTACATGTTATTTACAAAGCTTATACAAATCTGTTTCCTAAAGGTAAATCTTATAATGATGAAGTATCATTTAGATTTGAAGGATCTAATACTGTTTCAATTAAATTGTCTTAGAGATCTTGTAAAGTGAAATTATGAAAGACTTATTTAGGAAAATACTGAAGAAAAATGGACATAATGAGTAGTCCTTTCCTTTAAATTCTTAATACTAATTTGGATCTTTTATTATCTTACTTAACCTCTAAGAAATAATACTCTCTACATATTGCTTCTAGCAAGGAGGAAAAGACCTCAAGTTTAATATACTGTAATATATGGTATATATAAGGAGACCACAGATATTTTATACGTTATAATTCCATACAAATGAAAAATGTCATAGTTTACTAAAATACATGTTATTTTAGTGAACCATGTATTAACAAGTTTGCTAACCCCAAACAACTTGGGTAGGATAAAATTGGGGAATATACACATAATAAAAATAACAGTATATATATCACAGTAAAAATCTAACCAAATATAAGCAGGAATGGATTTTTTATATACTACATCACAAGGCAAAAAGAGATATTAACAATAGCCTTCAATGTTCAATATAGAGTATAAATATTAAAACTGTAGTTAATGGTTGGAGAAACAAATAGAAGAAAAGGGTAGAAAACATCACTAAAAATCCATAATGTTATTCCTCATGCTTTATTTATATTTTTTTACTTTATTTTTGTATTTTTATTTGGAATAACTTTCTTAAAAATGTGTTAAAAGCTATCCCTCAAAACAGGGATATTAGCTCTGATCACCAATACAAGTACTGTGGGCTTTTTAAAAGAATATATGAAACAGATTCAATCCATATGTTTAAAGTAAAAACATATTCAATCTTTACAGGGAGGTTTGATTCCTTCAATGAATTGTTAACCTTATAGGGTTTCATAAAATCATAGCGCTGGAAGGGACTTTGGAGGTCTTCTAGTCCAACCCCTCTCCTTTTATATATGTATGTACTGTAATTTTATGCATGTATTAATAGTGTGCTGTGTTTTCAAATTCTGTGACTTGATCTTGAACCATTAATAAACAAACAAATTGATAAACATAATGACTAGGTTCGTATAACCTTTGCACATCACAATTATTATACACCAAAAGTCCTTTCCCTCCCTTCTCCCAGGATTTTTTTGTAATTTTGTTTTACTATCTACTTTTTAAAATGTCCAACAATGTTTAGTTTCTTTTCTTATTAAATTGACTTGACACTGAATCCAACTCATCATTGCTTGCCTTGAAATTCAGCATATGCACTTGACTACATTCAGAGTTTATTGTATTATTTTATTTTGCACAATCGAGAATTCCAACTCTCCATGATCACTTTCCTCAACATTTTCCCTATTTACACTTCTATAATTAATGTTCTCAATTAATTATTAAAGGAGAGCTGATTTTCTTAAGGCCTTATTTCAGCTTCTGAAGAAGAATGTTTTCTGTAGCTAGATATTGTGCTTCATAATATATTTAGGAGAGGAACATTGGGAGATTGACAACTGAACATTTTACAGAAAGAATTCATTGAAAAATATTTCAGACAATGTTAGAAACATTTTTGCATAAATGGATTTCTCTTCTCTTTCACACTGTTAAACCTTTATTTTATTTAATATCTAGGTTTCCTTTGAAATAATTAGATAACATGGTTAAAATGCTAATCATTCTGAAAGAAGAACTGCAAGATTGTCAAACACTTAATGCCACAAATAAATATATCCTCTTTCAAAAGATGGGTTACTTATTTTTCTTATCAGCTCAGTTCAAATGATTTCAGATTAGGCAAATACCA